GGAAAATTTAGCCGAGATTGATTCATTAGTTGACACGTTATAGGACGGTATAAGTATTGATCGCGGCCTGTCATGTCCCATCTCGGCTAATCGAAGCTGAGGCGCTCTGTCGATGGGCGCATTTTTCATAATTCCGTCGCCGGGGAGAGAGACCAGCCGGCAGAGGCGACTGCAAGGCACAGAGAGAAAAAGAGGAGAGGAGGCTATAGGGGGGCAGAAAGAGATAGACGGGGGGGAGAGAGATGACTTGAGGGGGGAAATAGGTAGGGGGCAAAGAGTGAAAGAGCGAGAAATAGAGTGAAAAAAGAAGCACGGGGTAGGAAAGGGGACAGGCAGAGCGCGGTTGTGTGCGTCTGTGCGTGCGCACGGCTGTGACTCCCTGGCTGTGCGTCCGTCCTGCTCTGAGGCCTTGAGGTGAGGCAGAGAGGCGAGCCACAGGGAGGAGAGGGTAAGTTAATAGTGCAGGTATTGGGGCGTAGATAATTAATGCATTAACTAATTAAAGTCAAATGGGGGAGATAACGAGTTGGAGGGAAGTGCGAGAGAAAATAGGAAAAGACGCTGGGATGGAGAATTAGGGAGACAACAGGAGAAGAATAGCTTTTAATGGTGAGCGAAGGGATGCGGAGAGGTGTGAAAAAAGGGAGAGGTGAGAAGGAGGATGACGAGGTTTTGGGATGGAGGTGGGGGTAGGGAAGAACCGAGGGGCAAATAAATAGAAATCGAATAGTTTGGTTGGGAGCAGACAGAAGTTCTGAGGCGGAAAAAAATATATATATAAAGAAGAGACAGCGACAATGATGGAGAAACTTTTGATAGTTTTAAGGTTCGTTTGAAAAGTTGATTCAGATAACATAATATTGCTCCTCTGATAGTCTTCCCACGTGTGGAAACATCGAAAAGGGTCCCTTCTGTCAAGAAAGGTGGAAGAATAGAGGCTGTTTGTCTTATTGTCTAAAGTCTGCAACTCCAACAGCCCCTTTCTTTTATAGAAAACATAATACCAGCAATATCCAATCACCTGCTTTGACTCTCAGATTAATTCTCAGTGACATCACATTCTTTGTCTTTAGGGTTCAATATGACATTGGTCAACACTTTAGAGCTAAAACAGCATTAAATCTTCTGGGAAGGAGCGTGTTTTGTTGAATTTTTGACCATTCTTCCAAAAGTGTGTTTCATAGGCCAGGCTGATGTCTGACAACAAGGTCTGGCTCTCACATCTCTAATCCATCCCAAAGGTGAGAGTTCAGGAAGGACAAGCTCATCACTGTTTTTGTGGACCTCGCTTAGTGAACAGGTGCACTTCATGTTCGGAAGAGGAAGTAGCCATGTCCAAACTGTTCCCACAGAATTTAGTGTTGAAATTTTCAATATCAGTTAGTATGCTGAAGAACTCTAAGCCATAAACCCCCTTCAACCAAAGTTAAAACTAGGCACAAGACAGTCAGCAACTGCTGCCCTCTAATCAATCAGTTTGCCAGATAGCTGTGTGATTCTGAGCCTTTCTGCATGGAGTTTGCATGTTCTTTTCATGCATATGTGGTTTCTTTCCAGGTACTCCAGCTGCCTCCAGCAGTCCAAAAACATGACATCTCTAAATTGTCTTTAGGTGTGAGAGTGTGTGTGTGTGTGTATGGTATTGTGGCTCTGCATTGTCCTGGGATGGACTGGTGACGTCTGCAGGGTGTAAACCATCTTTTGACCATAGATTGCTGGAGATAGGCATCAGCCCCCCAAATGAAGCAAGAGAAGATGGATGGATGGATGGATGGATGGATGGATGGATGGATGGATGGATGGATGGATGGATGGATGGATGGATGGATGGATGGATGGATGGATGGATGGATGGATGGATGGATGGATGGATGGATGGATGGATGGATGGATGGGTCGATGATGAATGAATGAATGGATTTCAAGGGTTCATCATAATAGAAATGAAAATGTTTTTTTATAAATTTTGAAAGGATGTTATTATAACCGATAAGTCAAGCAAAACACTTAATTCATAAAAATAGAAACAGAAAAAAAATCCAAAGAACTATGTTCTTTGTTACAACTTTTACAGGGTTTAAGAACAAAATAATAGCTGGATTCTGAGCTTTCATAGCTTGGTGTTCTGAAGCATATGGATTTATGTTAACAAAATGCAAAGAGAGAACGACATCAGAGTTCAGTTCAGAAAAGGAAATGTTCCAGGCTTTCTAATCTAAGAAAGGGTTATAAGAATATTTTTAACAAACAATTGAAGGACATTTAGATATATTTTAAGAGACATTTAATACTGGGGTAAATTTTGGAAGTAAAGTCACTGTAAATCTAACCTACCAAAACAGTTTGAAGATTTTTTCTGTCTTGTATTGATAATAACAGATTTTCCTTTCTTTTTTGTGACAATTTAAAACCTTATAGTTTGTGGTAATGTAATAGATTTTAAATAATCGCCCTTCTCTGTGGGGAAAGAAGAAGTGAATCCTTCATTAAAGGGTTTTTATAACTTTTGTGTGTCGAAATGCATATCAGAATAGAAACACAAATCTGTTGGCCCAAAGGCTACAATATTCAGAAGGGAGTGGTGTGGTTTATATTCCTGTTCTGGGACAGAAACTACATCACCCAGATTATTGGGTCACATCAGCAAAGCAATGAACGTGGATGTTCCAGTCATCTCCATGGCTGCATGTGTTACATAGTTTAGTTTGAGGAAACTGGCCTAGCCTGCACAGTCTTTATCTAAACATTATACAGCTTGTTTGGGATGAATTCAAGCAGAAGCTGAAAATCTTATAAAACCTAAGTTACTAGTGCTTGGAACAGGAGCCATCAACAAATTGGACCATGAAAGTAAAGAACATTCCAAATGATCTGATCCAGTTTAGCATGCTCATTGCCATACAAAAGTCTTGTAAGTCTAAATTTTCAGCACCTTGAAAAATCAGGGATTCAAACAAAAGAGTAAATGTTGTTTAGGTTTAACTTTTTCAAACAGTACATTTGCAAACCAATATGTTAAATAAAAACATTTTTTAAAAATCATATGTCTAATAATTAATGTCCTAGAAAATGTTGATGGTAAACCACCAGCAGCACTGCTTGTAAACCACCATACTGAAACCTCATCTCTGTCCATGGTCCTGAAACCAGCAGAGGCATGTGATATCTCCTGATGGTGCTGAAAGTACAGTAGAATATTCCTCTGAGACTGGCAGTCTTTAATTCTGTGCATCTGTGCAATAATCGTGACCATTTTACTTATGTAAGAAGTTATTAAGTTGCAAATCATCACTAGTGGAAGTGATCATTGCTTTTCCTTTGGTCTTATTAGCAATAACTCGTATTTTCTGGTATGTGACTCTTAGAGTAAAGCAAAATGTATGAAGTCAGAAATTCTAAGGTAGTTGTGACTGATTTTATTCAAAGTGTAACCATTTACTTTAGGCCAACAAAAAATAGGATTAATGAGGCTACTATCTATATCACAATGTCTACTGTTTATAGGAGTTAGAGACAGAGAGACACACAGACAGACCCAGTGAGATGTAGGCAGTTCAACACACAGCCAGAATTGTGTTCCTGAAGTGCTTCCATTTATAAAACAGAACCATTTCTTATTGCCTTGTCTGGCTAATCATATTGGTTTTACTACTTGCAACTCAACTCATGTGTGGCAAATCCCCAGCTTTACATTATAACTTCTGAGGTGAGTTTTAGCAATACACATTCCGATTGTTAGAGAGAACCAAACACAACGGACCAGTAGAGGATTTGATCATCATGTGTTCGGTATTATTTTCTTTGAATTAAATAAGTCCTGGAATGATAAAATTTACCCAGTGTCAGAATTACAACTGGCGAGGGTCTTTACATCGATAATACACACTTGACATGTGTGTGCGGGATTGCATGAGAGGAATTTTTAACAACATATAAGAAAATTCCTTCTCCGTAACGCAAAAAAGGCTGGGTTATTACAGACAAAAGTTTAAGGCACTTTGCATTTTTAGTTTGCAATCTGAAATCATTGCTACCGTGTCTTTCTTCAAAAACATGGTGAACTTTCTTGACAGAATACCTAAAACCTGAACTAGTCTGAACATGAACCAGGGTGATCCACTCAAAGAGCTTGTACCCAAACATCTTTGAGCCAAACAACATAAATCTTATTCTAATTGATCTTTGATAAACTACAACGCATCGTTTGAGGAAGTCCTGTTGCACCTACAGAAAATGGGACTATGTTGCAGAGGGCGAACCACCACACACCCTCTCAAATCAGCAATGATAAAGGTGGAGCTGTAATGGTTTGTGGGATGGAATCAAGAGAAATGAGATACACCAAATTAGAAGAGATTGGCCTGATGGACTTGGATTAGAAGGGAAAAAGGTGTATAGGGACGGGATATCGAGAAGAGCAGGAGTGAGTGAGTGAGTGCATATGGGGAAGATGGGGAAAGATGGAGGGGAGAGGAGGAAAGAGGGGAGGGGTGGGAGGGGGGTCTTGGTACTTGGCAGTCTCTGGGTATCTCAGGTTCTCTCCGGCCGGGAAAGCGGTCGATATTTAATTGTTATTGCTAGCATGGAACGCACGGAAGCGGGGCCTGTACGAAAATTTCTCATTTATTTGGTATTCTTGTTTTCTCTCCTTTTCCTCCCTTCACCCGCAGTCCTCTTTGCGGGGGAGGAAAGTGAGGGGAGGAGGAGAGGGGGGGCGTCCTGTGTGCGCACTGGGGGCAAATGAGAAAAGGGGATGAGATCCTTGGATGGATCTGAAAAAAGCAGTGTCGTCCTCTCCCCAAGTTTAGTTTCTGTCCCCAGACACACCGTATCCCACCCACTATCACCTCCACCATCCTCCCCCACCCCCCCCACCGGCCAAATCCGTCATTTTCATCAAACGTCCAACCAAATATTATCCACACTCCATTCCCAAAGATCGAATCTTATTTAGAAACGACGGGATTCGCCATCTGTTTTCAGATTTCATTCCTCCGTGAACTTTATTTTCCCCTCGACTTCGGACAAAATTATAACCCGATCGATCCGCTTTCCCGGCCACCACCACCCGTCTGCTTATATTTTTCCACGTGCGACCACTTCACCGCACTCTGCGGGTCAATTTTCAGCCGAGGCAATGCGTGCAGAACGCAGTTTGCAGCTGATAGAAACTTAGATGCTGATGTGAGGTGGAGGTTCAGCCTCAGCACCTTCACTGTTACCTCCCCCCTCCACCCACCCACCTCCACCTGCTTCCTTCTCTGCTCTCTCATCCCTCCCCATGCGCCCGGATCGCTCCCCCTGCGCGCCCCTGACCAAATCTCTTTGCTTTCTTCTTCACGCTCCACTCCTGTGAAGAAATACCAAACCATTTTCGGACAGCAGCAGGTCAGAGAGGAGTTCTTCTTTTTTTTTTATCCTGGCAACTTTTTGCAGATAACTTTTCAACTCTCTCTGTTGTAGCGCGCTACTATATCTATTGCAATTTGTTTTCCGTACGCACCGATGTTTACATTATTACTCATAAATCCTGTCAATGTAGAGTAGTTTGATGCAGAGGGTGTGAAGGATGCTCGGTCTGATCTCCTAAAACTGCATCATTACCATCACTTCTCCGCGCGCGTCGACAGGATTCCCATTCCAGCCCAGGAGGGAGCTGCTGGACAGATCCATGAAGGTGCGCCGGTGAAGGTAAGCACCCCACTTCCCTATTCGGTTATAGACAGATTGCATTCATAATCTAGAAAGCCGATTACAATCTCCCGAGAAATAGGGTGCACTATATGCAGAAATTGATTGATGCAGAACGTTTGCACAGACGGTCTGAGAAACATCAGAAGTTTACAAGAGCCTACTTTAAAATGAAAGACTTCATGGCTTACGTTCCTGCTTTTTCACATATCCTTCGGGATGTGTGGTTCCTTCGGGGTGGAGTTCTGGAGAAGAACGCGCGATGAAAAGTAAAAGACCTTCAGGGAAAGAGGAAGTTTGGAGAGGAAATACTTTTTTTCTTATCCCAAAGTTTAGATGCAATACCTGAAGTATGACAAGGCGCACAGAAGCTTTACTTCTTTATGTGTTTGAGTTTATTTATGCAGTGGGATTACCTTGGATTATAAAACTAAACTGCATATTTGTTTTTGCACCACCTTACAGCTGATAAAACGGGTTCTCAATACAGGGGCGCATACAGAACCTTTAAGAAAGGGGCACAATGGGGGTCAAAGCTAATGTGACCAGGAGTTTGGTTAAAGAGGTGTGTTTGTAGGGAGATGGGCATTGAACATTGCATGTTAGGAATGAATAAATGAATCCTCCATCCCTTAAATTTGGCAAATTATCAAACAACATTAAAGATGCAGAAACCTATTTTGCACTCTCTTTACTTACTTACTTATTAGGGACCCTTTCTGGTATATTTACTTACCTTCTGAGGACCATCAGGCCTTACAAAGAGAAAAGTCTGGTCTTAAAGTGGCAGACACCTATTTTATTCTTAAGGGGTTAGTTTAGAGGTAGGGTAAGAGTTAACTTAAGTTTAATGTTAGGGATATGATAATAATGATTAAGATCAGGCATTAATGCACCAACTGAAATGAATGACAGTTAATGTAAAGTCCTAATGTAGGAAGAAATACAAACTTGTGTGTTTGTGTGTCTAAGTGTGTTGCGTACAAACAAACCTTGCTTTTAAGATACCCCTGACCTTACATCAAATGTAGTCACATTTAATGTGCGGATGCTGTGATTAAAGGGAATTTCATTCAGTTTGAGAGCACAGCATCATTGTTGTGGCCTCGGGTGGTCCGCTCGGTTTTTTTTAATCTATTTATTTTTATTATGAAGAACTCCTTCCCAATCACAGTCAGCGGAGACATGAGACTCTTATCTTTGATGTCCTATGATGTTCACTCAAGAGCCTCAGCTTTGATGCAGGGTTGCACACAGACTTTGTGAACTGATCCAGTTTTGGACTTTTAAGATTCTGCTTTTCAAGATTTTTCTGCTTTTTGTTGAGTTAATTTCATTTGTGGAATATGCTGCAGTGGTCCAGGTCTCCTCTGCTCTTTGCATATTTTCATGTTATCCTTAAGCAGGTCTTGTAACTGTTTTTACTGTTTAAATGTTTTACATATATTTTCCTTCATTGGAAGATTTCTTTGTGAAACTTTAATATCTAAAAAAAATCAAATCCCTCACAAACATCTATTTCTTATAAGGTCCATTCTCTTGTACATAAAGTTCGCCAAGGTCAACTACATGCTTTCAGTTCAACCTCTGCATTGATTTTCTACTTGTGTTCTGCAAAGTCAAATACACATAGTATAAAAATGAAGAATGTTGTTTTTTAATACTGGGGGTTTATAAGTTTGTGAAACAACAAACAAATCTGAATTATTTGCAAAACACCAGAGTTAAATCTAAAACAAGTGGTCATGTCTTTGTCCTCTAATATAAAGCACATCAACAGACTGCACCTTTTCCACATCTTATGAAAAGCTGCATTTTTTTGCTGAATATATTAATAAAGAGTAGCTAGTCCTCAGCTGCATTACTACAAAACAAGTAAGTGTTGTTTAATGTGTTTAAGACGATTTTTGTAAAAGTAACTACTGTTTTTTTTTTTTTCTTACATTTATTTTTCTAAAGGTATAGTTCTTAAACAATATAATAAATACAACAGAGAAAAAATAAAACAAAACACAAAAACAAAAAAGGTTGTTTACTAGGAGACACAATATCCAGAGAAATAACCCCAAGTCAATATATTCATCAAAGCTTCAAACTAGCATATTTTTTAACTTTTTAACTGAACTCAGTATTTAAATGTGTTATTTTAAGAGACCACAATCCTAAGAGGTATGTATTTTTGTTTTACATGAAGCACTGAGAGTACATCACTAATTGTCTCTTTCCAAAACAAGAAGGCAACTAACAGTCATTAATTCTTCTTTTAAGGACTAAATGACAACAAACCAGATGATGGTATAGAGCTAAACTATCACCTATAGTTTAATGCCTTGGATTTAGTTCAGTATACACTTTAAGACAGCATTCAATCCACCTTTATCCTAGTCATAGTACACTATAGCTATATTCAGTTCAACATGTTACATTGGAGTTGCTCTTCTTTTTAAAGGATAGTTTTGAGTCAAGTAAATTTCACTATATTTAATTGAATTGTTTCACAGCAAAATATCATTTATCTGAAATTACAGTAAGTCACACTTAGGTGCTGGAGGCAAACACTAAATGCTCATGTTCTGCATCTACGTAACTGAAAAAAAAAACATTTGCAGTAATATTACTGAGAAACGATTGCAAACAGATAACAGGATAAGGTATTTTCCTACTCCTTATGTCCAAATAACGTAAAGAGTCAGCAATCTGAGTTTAGATATTCAGAGCGGAATAATGAAATCTGTGCCAAACAAATATACAGTATAAACAAGGATGGGAAGATTCCTTGATTAGCCTTAGTCATTCACAACAAAAAAAGGATTTACAGGAAAATCAAAGGAAACAAATAAAAGCTAGAACAGCACTCTGAGAGCGCAGACCTCCACCAAGCAGCAAATTTTACCCGATATTTTGACTTACACATAGATCAAACCCGCACATGATCCGGATCATTACCAAATTTAACTGAACTGTGCCTCGGCATGAGGAGCACCTTTGGTAATTTAATTAAAATCCTTTCATAAGTGTATAAATAAGGGCCAGCCTGTGTCTGCAGCCTCTGGTGTTTGTCTTGTCCTCAACTTCTTTATTCACTCTGCTTTCTTATTTGATCAGCAGATCAAGACTTTGTGTGAGGCATGACTCACCCTTTCCTGTGTTTTTGTATTCAGTATAATACTTCTGGACTTTTTGAGTCCGATGCTGAAGCTGTCAATAGTGACCGCTGCCAGTCTCTGGTTTAGGGGGGAACTGCTTGTCTTGCCAAATAATGTTAAAGAATCCTTTAAAAAAACTGCTGCATTCAGATTATGGTGTTGATCATCAACAACATTTGATGGATTGTTTTTTGAGGTGCATTTTTGGGAAAAGTCAAATTAAAATCCGTTCATCACTTTTCAAGTTATCCTATGCACAGATGGACAGACAAAACATAACTGCCTTGATGGAAGTAAAGAAAACAAAACAAGATATTTTGTTTAAAAAATGTAAATAAGATAATAGCATTAGCCTACACAAATATACACAGATAGTTAAAATGATTTTTTGATCTATATAATCTTCCTTCTCATACTTGAATCACTCAGCAGCAATTGTGCAAGCAGTTCATTGGTGAGACTGAAAGCTGCAATAAGAAATGCTCTATATAGTCCTGGTTTAAAGGAGCCAATAGTGTTTTAGGCTTTTAAGGAGTTTTTTTTTATCTCTCTGTAACAAACTTTAATCTCACAAATATTGTAACGTTTGCATGGATCTCAGCTCTCAGAATTATTATACAAAGATGATCCACATAGTCACATAGATGATCCACAAATATCTACACAAAGTTTCAGTACATTTATTTAAAAAAAGAAAGAAAAAGGAGTGAAAATCAATGATATGATGTATGAACAAAGCACTGGGACATTTTGTTAGATATCAATAAGTATAGGGGTCTCCTTTTAGCTCCGTTTTGCACTGCTGAGGATCTGGTTCCCCTGCTGGAAATCCTTCAAAATTAAAGTTCTCCAGAGCTCTGCATGCTGAATATAGAAGACAACTTATAAGAAATTCACATAAAGAGAGAAGAAAAGGGATCAAAAAGAACAAACTGAACTTCCTCTTAAATATCTTTCTCCATGTGGGGCATCTTTTTGTCTACAAGAACCTGAACTCACATCTAAACTGCATCTTTTATACTAACATCCCTGCTGGAGAGCCTGGATTTCTCCCTGAATTACCAGCAGAATGTTTCCCAGTGCAGTTCTGAAGCTTGTTTTGTTCTACGCAGTCTTTCCAATACCCCTGCCGTTTTCACTTCTCCCAGATAAAGCCTCTCCTATTGATGATGAAAATGTGCTGATCAATATGGCAATTTCAAGCTTATTCTAAGTGACTTCATATCTGCAGCCTCTCTATGAATCGAGGGTCTGCTGCGGGAGAGTGTCCCCCACATTGATTATGTATTAGCTTGCCGACTTCCGACGCCCAGCCACTTGTTTGCAAACGGTGGTCTATTTCCGAGGTATTCAAACGTCCACTAAGCATGCAGAGCCGATATTTATAGAGGCTTTAACTGGTTCATTATAGTCATTGTGGATTGTTCCACAGGGGGTTGAGACGCTCATAAAGGGCCGAGCAGAGTTAGTCCCAATCCACTGAGCATTTGACAGTACAGTCGATGACTCAAATCATTCCTCATCCTCTTTATGGCCACATGGACATTTACAGCCGTTATGGGGTTAAAATACAAACATGAATGGATGCAAAGTGTAATCATAGGTCATTCAGTGTGAAGTCTATAGAACTTGGGGGAAAATGGTGCTACATTAAAGTTCTGGTTATTTCTGTTCATTTAATAGATAAAACTTGGAAAATGCACTTTAAAAAATGGCTATTTAATCATCTCATACCTTGTTGCTTCGTAGATAAAATTATCTGAACAGGTGATTAAACGAAAAAGAAATGATTTTTCAAGTAAAACTGTAAACTATATATATATATATATATATATATATATATATATGTATATA